CACACACACACACACACACACACACACACACACACACACACACACATATATATAATTTATTTTTTTATATTTTATTTTTCTTCAGGGGTCGCCACAGCAAACTAACTTGAACAAAGACTTGGTGATTGTTTTTATGCCAGATGTCCTTCCTGACACAACCACAGACCACTGAGCTACCACAGCCCTCTGTGTGGAGCAGAGAGCTGCCATCTGGGGCACCCAGGGGTGCAGATGGTGGGGGTTGGGGGCCCAGATAAGGGTGGAGGCAGGTGTGGGTGCTTCAGCTTTTCCACTCACATTTTGGTGTTAGAAGTCATTTGTGATTGTTTAGTGTATATTTTAGGTTTTGCTCCTTTGTGTGACTTTGTGTGCCCGGATTCCTTTTGTTCACATAGTAGATGGGAAATATTAAATTCAGGATTTTTGCTCGTTTATCATTTGTATTAGTTTTACTTCTGAATCTCTGACACTATTGAATCGTCCTGGTGCTCTGTTTCAAAACTAAGGCCTTATGGGTTGTTTTGACCCAAGGGCAGCAGGAGGTTGGAGCTCATCAAATGTTGAACAGCAGCCCATCACATCCTGTCTTTCTAATCCCTCCTCTCATCCTTCCTTCCTTGTTGCCTTTCTCCTTCCTCCTCTGCTGTGACTCACATGCATGAGCAGCAGTTGCATCTCGTTCTCAGCGATCCTCCTCCCGACGCACTGCCTCGCCCCGAACCCAAAGGCCAGTGAGCGAAACGCGGCCCCCTCCCCTCTCCGGCCGTCCTCCCTGCTGCTGATCCAGCGGCTGGGATGGAAGCGCAGTGGATCCTCGAACACCAGGACACTCCTCCCCATCGGGTACAGACAGGCCTGGACCATCGTCTGTGGAAGGGTGGACAAACTTGTGACCTTCGGTGAAGCGGACTGTGTTTGTGTGCACATGGTAAGAGATGGAAAATGTCAGGAAAGTGAGCAGCAGTGTGCACGCTCACCCCTGCAGGTATGTGGTAGTTCTGGAGAACAATATCTTTGACTGGATACCTCTGCACCGTTATCCCCACTGGGTACAACCTGAAACAAACAAATGTTTGTGTTCATGTTTTTTATACCTGCATGGTCAATGTCAGTTCTAACAAAATTAATCTAATTACTCTAATAATCCTGAGCGTGTTTTAGACAAATGTTCCTAATGTTGGTGCACTGATTGTTTTTCCTGCTCCACTGATCCAAAACAGATAAGTTTCATTCATTTCTCCATCACTCCAGGTAATTTACTGTTCTCAAGTCACAGATGGTGTTTTTGTGCTTCAGGTTAAATAAAAGTCACTAAAAGTTGCTGCTTCAAATCTAAATCATACATAAGTATAAGTCTGGAGAGAAGTTTCAGAAGAATGTGTTTGATCAGACTGCAGGTCACCAGAACAACTGTCACTTCCACAAAATACCCAGATTTTTTGTTTGTTTTGTGCAATTTGATAAACTATAGCAGAGATGTTTGGGAGACTGCAAACATTTTTTATTTTTTTTAGTGCCACCTAACTTAACGCTCCGGTTATTTTTATTTTTTTTCCGTGATGTGAATTTTCCGTTCCACCACATCCCAGAGGAGCTCGATTAGGTTTAGATCAGATGTCCGTGGAGACTGATGGAGTCCAGTGAATTGAGACCCATCAGAGCAGGAAATGTTTTTCATGCCTGTCTGTCTGCTGTCTAACCTCTGACATTAACCAGGTTTTTGTTTCTGTCCACACAAATGCAGCTCACTGGAAATTTACTTCTTTTTTTTTTTTTTGACCATTCTCTAATCTAGACATGCTTGTGTGTAAAAATCCATGTAGAATAGCAATTTCTGAAATATTCAGACCAACAACACTTCCATCCAAAGTCACTTAAATCCCATTTCTTCTCTATTTTGATGCCTAATTTGAACTTCAGCAAGTCGTCTTCCTACATCTACATGTCTAAAGACATCGAGTTTCTGCCATTAGATTGATTAAATGTGCCTAATAAAGTGGCTGGTAAGTGTATTTATTTTATATGTTTACAGCTTTTTTACTAAATGTCACCCTGCTCAATGGCAACTGAGTAGCTTAATGTTAAAAGTGTCTGAAATGCATAATTAGATGACTGACAGATGATAAAAGTAGCATCCACAATGAACAAAAATCTTTTTGAAGGTGCAGATGAGTGGACTAAAAAATTGATACAACTTTCTAACAGGGACAAATAAAACCCTTTTCTAACTAAATCCTGAGATTTTGTACCTGAGAACTTCTTTGATTGTGGCTTTCAGAAGCGGTGCCCCCTGCAGGGCTCTCTGAGGATCCCCGCCCGCCTGCGCCCATGATGTCCTCACCTGCTGCCTAACCATGTCCTGAACCTCTGGGTTGCGTCCCAGCTCAAACAGAGCAAACTGCAGGGGGACGGCTGTCTGCAGAGAGGATCGGATCAGAGGTGACACACACACACACACACACTAGAAAGACAAACAAATGCATAAACACACACAAACCGTGTCAACGCCTCCAGCCATCAGCTCAGTGATGTTAGCTTTGATCAGGTCTAAAGATAGCTGCCCTTTCTCCATTAGTTGCCCCAGAACTCCAGTGTACTGGCCCCCGCTCAAAGACCCCTGACCCTGGGAGGACGTCAGGCGCTGGTAGGCCTTCTGGATCCTCGCCTCAGCTGGACGAAGCACACAGGCCAGAAAACAAAAGACAACGGATTCAAACAGAGATGAACTAAAGACTAACTGGTGCCTACAGTTCTTCCCACCATGACTGAAGATGTGGTCCCATGCTGTGGCGTGCTGGGTCCACAAAGGGGCACCTATTCGGAGCAGCAGGCGAAGGGGGAGGTAGAGGAGAGGTTGGGTGGTCGTCAGCATTCGCTCCACTGCCCAGATGAACTTCTGAGACTCCGGGGAAGGAGACGAGGAGAAGAGGCCAATACGCTCTCCGTAAATGACGTGACAGCTGGCTACGGGGCCGAAGACAGACGGGAGGGTGGAAGATATGACGTGAGCAGACAAAATAAACCGAACACAAACACTTCAGGGAACAATAAACCCAGCACTGACCACTTTTCAGCTGATCAAAAAAAAAAAAAAAGTATATTTAATTTATATAATCGATTAAAAGAGCTCGTACATTTTTTGACTACCAGATGTGCTCGTTTTAAATTATCCTCACATAAACCCCTGCAATGGAGTTTCGCCGTCTCTGGTTGTGCACCTGTCATGAGTCCATTTGGATCGGTGCAACATGACTCAGAGTCATCAGCTTCACGCTCACGTACACAGAGAGGTGTGTGTGTGTGTGTGTGTGTGTGCGGCGCTGAGTCACACAAGGATTCACACCCATGAACGTAGCAGCGTGCAGATAGACACGGAATAAATGAACGTGCAGCTTTCATCTAGCCTTTTTCCTTCCACACCATGAATGTTACGGGCTGAGTCGCCTCGGGTTAGAACGAAGTCTGGTGGAAACGTTTTTACATAAAATAAAAGAAGATTGTGTGGGATCAGAATACTACGTCACGGTTTGTGACCTGAATTCCTGATGGTCGGGCTGAGTATGAGCTTCCTGTAAGCAAGCTGATGGTTCTGGGTGTAGGAGTGGAACCGAGGAGTGCACCAGTAATACACCCCCTACCTTGCTTTGCAGTTATATAAAAATAAATGATGCACACTTCAGCTAATAAAAAAGATGAAAAACAGGGTGATGAAGTTGCTCCCCAACCTTCCAGCGCGAATCGGAAAAGGTCAGGACTGGGATCGATGGTGAGGCTGCGCTTCCCCTCCTCTCCTCTTCCCTCCCTCTCCACTCTCATCTGCAGCATTCTGCAGAAGTCCTTCGCCACTTCATCAAGGAGGGGCAGAAAGCGCTTCACGGCGGCACTCAACATCACCTCCTTGTTGAGCTGGAGGCGGTCAGATCTCCACTCCTCGCCATTCCTGTGGAGAGGAGAGTCACAGCGGGGGCACTAAAATCAACCAGCCTGCCTCACTTCATCGTGGAGCAAAGAACGGCTTCTGCTTCAGAGGGAAAAACTGATTCAGAGCTGTTTGACTATATAAAACATATAATAGATTATAATATAAAGCAAAGCAGCGCAATGTGATGCAACAGAAGACAATACAATAATAGAAACTGATTTATTATACTGCTTATCTTTAATTTGACTTTAAAAAGGGTCAGTGTGCAAACCCAATCATTCCAGGGCTTGAATTCAGACACAAAGTTTTAAAAATCAATGCTGCACCATGGGAAACTCAGAATCCAGCGTTTAGTTTGATAGTTTGGGATAAATCTCTGATACTCCAAGCTTTTTAGTTGGATTAGAACATTTGAATGTCTCAACTCTCAGTGCAACTGCAGGTAAATCCCACTTGGAAGAAAAAAAAAAGGAGGGTTCTTCCTTCCTTATTGTGGGCGTCTTCCTGGCATGCATCCTCTGAACGAGAGGAACAGGCAGAAACCAACATACTACACTGTTTTGACCCAGTCCACATGGACTTATCTGTCTGGAAGCTGAACAACAAACCAGTTTCCAACACTCGTAAGATTAGACCCAAGATTTGGTCTTGAACCAAGTTTAGTTTTACATTTGCATCCATTCATTAAAACCCAGACGTGGCACTGACTTGAGGAAGAGTCCCTTGCTGTGGTTGCGTGTCTCCCGATGCGTTGCCCACGGCTGCAGGGTCATCCGCCGAGGGTGCAGCCCCTCCGACTGGAACAGCTCGCTGATGTCCGATGGCATCAAGATGTTCACACTGTTCAGAGTGCCCACGCTCTCCCTTCAAACACAGGCAGCTGTAAGCATGGAGCACTGCTTCATATTGGAGAAATCATGTTACCTGTAGATGGGGCCAAGGGCGTTGAAGGTCCCCTCCATGTGCTTGTGGAGCTGCTGGAAACGATTATCCCTCCAGAACTTCACCAGGTTGATCCAACCGTTCCTCCCCGTGTGGGGGATCTCCTCAAAGCGGCGCACCCGTCCATCCACGCCCCTCTTTCTGACGGCTTTCACAGATCTCTTACCTCCATCTACGTCTCCATCCATCACAGTCCCCGCTGCGGTCACGCAAAAACCATTCTGGGGTGCAACGCCTAAAAATCTGGACCCGCAAGTGCCCTGCGCTCTGACACTCACAGTGGAAACTTTCCTCATGGTCCTAACAAGATGCTGCTGGTCAGCCTCGTCCACAGATGTGGCACATAATGCTGTGGGTCGGATTATTTCTCCGCTCTGCCTCCAACCTCATGCAGAGCCTTGGATGAGTGTTATCGCTCCGATGAACTGATAGGAGGTGATGATTTATGAATCATGATGATCAGAGTTCAAGAGAAGGACAACAGAGCTGGAATGTCAGGATGATCCAACACACACACACACACACACACGGAATAAATGGCAAAAGAGCACATCAAGCTGGACCAAAAAAAAGCCTTTATTGAAAGTTTTAGCTTAAGCAAAATAATAAATAAATCATCTTCTAGCTGTTTTCAAGGTTGCTTTGTTTCTGCTTCTTGGATGAAATTCTCTGACCAGGCTACAAAAGACTAATACACCAACAACAAAAACATAAATTTGGCTCGTATGCATTAAAGATACACATTTGGCTCATATAATCGTTGCTGACAGAATTGAGCCATAAGAAATAAAACAGCAATAAATACTGAAAAATATATTAATATAAAACACGTGACCCTGAGATTCCTTACCTGTGTATAGATCAGCTGGATCTATATATAATTGAAATCAGTGAAATCCTAAACAACAAAATAACTTCATAATAAACATTTATATTAATAAACTGGTAGAATAACTCTATGACTCTAGTTTTTTTGTTTTTTTTAACAATTCAAGACAACTTTATCTTTAGTTTAGCAGTTATTACAGCAGGACTTCGTCTTAAGCCCCCTCCCTTGGCGTTTTATGATCCACTGAGTGGTCCAGACTCCAACTTTGGGCAGCACTGACTTAAAGAGCTGGAACAGCTCAACTTATCAAGTAAACTAGAATTTATTAAAAAAATAAATAAAAAAAGAGACAAAAACAATCAAACATAGATTCACAGGGTGGCAGCACCACAAACCTTCAACTTCTAACTTTAATTATTGCAGCATTTTATTAACATTTTAGAAAATTACTGTCAAGATGAGATGATATTAGAAAACTCGTTACCTGGATTGTTTTTATGTTACTTTTCTCGTGTGATAATGCTTCAGTTTGTCGTGCGGTCGGTGTTTCTGCCTCGACATGAAAAATAAATCCTGCAGGAAACAAAGTTGAACCCTCATTTTGGACTCGCAGCATTTAACAGATATTTTCTTACATCGTTGGAGTCACAGTCAGCAGACTGCAAACACTTTTCAACAAATAATTGTCTTTCGAGTAAATTTCATACAAGATATTACCTTGATTGGCCATTATATTTGATTATTTCCAAGTAAAAAAAAACACTAAAAGTTGTCAGTATGCCAACAGGTACCATTGATCACATGACTCTACAAGAGTCTCCTGAAGTGGGTGTGGGCGTCCTGCTGGGTTTCCTCCCTGTAAACACGGCCGTGCTGAAGCTGAGGCCTTGGAAGGCGCTCAGCAGGTTGAAGCCGTCGTCCTTGGCTTTGGTTTCAGGATGAATAATCTTCGACAGCTCGTGGGGGAGCCAGACTTTACCGCCAACAGACCTCAGGTGATTTGTGTCCTTTGGGTCCTGAATCATCGTAGCAAAATATAAACAGGAAAAGAGGTCAAGATCACTATATATATATATATTAAAGGACTCGATTATCAAAATTACCTCTAATTAGAGTAAGATTCAGGAACCTAAAAGGAAATGTTTAAATTTCAATGTGTACAACAAATGAATAATTAGATCAACTCTAAAATCTGTTGAGGAATAATGTAAAGAAATAAAATTGGCCACTCCAGGAGGTTTTGGACCCAGAATGCAGAAAAACACGAGAACCTTGAAAAAGGAAAGTTTTTTTTATTAAACTATCAAACGCGATCAATAAGGCGAATTCTTGGAAACAAGGAGGACCGAGACAGCACGTTGCACGCATGATGAGGAGCTGAGGAACAGTCTGAAACTCTGGGAATATAAAGACAAGACTAGGGAACAAATCCAGAGCAGCTGGCAGGTAGACAAAGAGCAGCAGGTGAGTGTGGGCGGGGCAGGGATCACAAAGGAGCAGTGGGGAGGTGACAATAACAAACAAGTAATCAGAACACAGAAATGACAGAAACCCCAACTATAATACAGACTGCATTTTTATATCACTTCTATATACTTTTCATTTTATATCAGTGTTTATTGTTGTGATCTGTGTTCTTTGTTTAAAACAGGTCTCTTGTAAATGAGTCCTCATGACTCAATGAGACTAACCTGTATAAATAAAGGTTGTATGAATGAATGAATGGTCACAGGTGAGGATTTTACACATTAAAACGATCTGAGTCAGCTGTTTTCAGGTGCCCTGCAAAGATCCACCTGTAGAATATTTATATTTAAATGCAACACGAGGTGAAAAGATGCTTAAATTAGTTTGTTATTTATAGAGCATGGGCCAAAATCTATATTGACTGCAGACATTTTTTTTTTTACTTTAAAATGTCTGAAAAAGGCTTTTTAGACTGAAAAGACGTCAGAAAAAAATCTGGTTAAATTTGGTGTAAAACGTGAAACTTTTAATGTTTAATCCCAGATTTCACTCTGGACTTTTTAGACATTTACGATCACCCACCACCATGAAAGACAAGTGTGTGTTCATTTGAATGTCTGTTAGTGAAATATCTCTTTAACCAGTGGACGGATTTAAATTAAACTCTCAAAAATTAATTAATTAATTAATTGGATATCCTGATGCATGCTCAATGAATTAATGGATGTTTATCCACAACTGATTAACTTTTGAAATCAAACTAATGCAAGATGGCTGCCACAGCTAATCACCCTCTGCAAACACAAAAATGGTTCTATTACAGCCAGTTTTACAGATTTTCGCCTCGTTGTACCTTTGGCATCCAGAGTGGACGATGCGCGCTCCTTTAAGGAATGGCCACAGTCGGTGTGTGTGTTGAACACTGTGTTGTGTTTTATTTGCACAGGTAAGTTATTATTGTCTGTTGTTCCTACAAACCTCAGCGAGCTGATATTTGCTCCTGAAGTGAGCTCTCATGGCTGCTCTCTGTGCGTTTTTCTGAGCGTTCGCCGCCTCCCGCAGCTTCCTGTAAACACAAACGCACCTGAGTTGTCACAGGCTGAATTCAGCAACACAAAAACACTCTCAGCTGCACAGACGTACGAGTCGCCTCAGCTCATTTCAGCCGCCTCCTCTGAGAACGTCATGCTGAAGAGGTTTGAGTGGCACTTTGAAAAATATATAAACTCAAAACGCGTGTGATTATACAGTTAAGTGTTGCTAAATTTGAAAACTGCTCAGAAAAGTCATACATTTTATGTTTCAAAACTCTTCTCCTGAATCTTTTCTGATTTCTCTGTTAAATTTCAACCCAGTGTAAGAATCTAAAAATAAAAACATTTTGTGTATGTTTAAATTTGTTGATAAATCTTTACCCAAACATTTGTAAGACCAAATGTCAGTGGTATGACTTTTATACTGATAAAATACAACTAAATAAACAAAAACAGTTAGAAACCATTCAAATGTTATGATTTTTTATGAACCCGTCTATTGAATTATAGTAAATAAATATTAAATGAATGTTCATGTGTTCAGCAAGGATAGGGATTCTGTGTAAGGGTTATGAAGAAACAACATCTTACCTGTTGTAGATGTCTTGACTTAACTTAGGAGAAATTGAGGCTAATTTAGACCAGATTTGATCAAACTTTACATCACCTTCAGTTTCACATTACATTGTTTTCCCAACAGAAAAATGATATTCCTAAGAGACGCACTAAAACTATAGCCACTGCTGTTATTTGCATTTGGAAATAGCCGAAGCTTTCTATATAAATGACAACAAAATGTAGGTTTGTGAAATGCAGCTCGCATGAAGTGTTAAAAAAGTTATGAAAGAGTTTTAAAATGGCAGCAATCCTCTTTAGCCTTAGCTGTCTTTAAAACTAGTTGTTAATAAGTCAATCCGATCAAAATTAACCTCTACTTCTCCAAAATAATATTGTTTAAAGAGCTATCTACAACAGGTAAGATATTAATTGTTCATAACCATTCCACAGAACTTCATTTCAATTATGTAAACCATTGTTTTAAGAAAAGATTTAAAAATCTGGAAATGCAATCTACAATTTCCAAAATTAAACTTAGAACTAAAAAAAAATCTGCGTTTGTCCTTTTTTTGGATCACACAGAAAATTATCTTCTAAAATATTAAAGCAAAGGCTTAACTTTAAAGAACTCTAAGGTTTGGTTCATAGTATCAAGTTATTATTAACAGTGTTAGCTGTTTATTTGACAGATTTAAAACTCAACATAAGTTTTCAAACAAAGTTGTTATTGCTGTAGACAAAACTCAAATATTATAGTTGCTAAATTGCTTTTATGTATTTATTAATTGCTTTATGTTTACGCTCTCTTCCTGTTTAGTGTTCGCTTGCCTTTCTTTCTCCAGGTCGGCCCGGTACGACAGAACGACTGACGGCTCTCTAGGTTTTGGACCTCGACAAGGAGGGGTTTTCCCAAACACGCTGGTGTCTCCGTGACCCCTGCCTCTCTTCCTCCTGCGTTTGGCACACAGCCTCTTCTCCCTCGCTCCCGTCACACAACCAGTCAACTTCCTGATGGGCGTCTTCAAACATTTCTTTATTCTCACTGCGGACTCCATGACACACGGCAGCTCTGGGGACGAAAGGTAACAAGCGCTCCCCTACGTTCTGGACAGGTGACGGGTGGAGATGTAACAGCCTCCTCCTCCAAACATGTTGTGTTGCTCTGACAGGTTCACGCCTCGCAGTAATTCAGGCTGAGACCTACCAAGGACAAGGACGGCAGTCAGACGTGGCTCAGACACTCTGATTCAGCCTCACGCACACAGACACAGGCTTACTTACAAACGAGGCGTTTATCATCTACAGAAGGGTGAGGAGGTTATTACGAGAAAGCTGGAGTCTAAACAAGGCCAAAAAGTGACGAACGTTCCCCTGCAGATACTACTCAGGCTATTTATGGGCCTGTTTCATTCACAGCAGTGGCTCAAGATCTACAGGTTTCTTACCCCTGCAGCTGCTCAGACTTCCTGCAAGCCTTCAGCTCCACCTGCAGACAGACTCTGATCCAAACCGAACTGGACTGGAGAGAAAACTCCAGAGTGGACGTCACCCGTCCTGTTTCTGTGTCCAGGTTTCAACCTTTGCTGCCCTCATGTCTCCCCCCTCAGACTCGCTGCACGCCTCACCACCTCCAACCCTTCAACTCAGATTAGAGGATTTAATGAGGGGAATCTTGTTAGCTGCGCAGGGAGCGCACGGAGACACTCACGTGTTCGTGAAGATTTACAGGCAGAGGCTGACATCATGTTGAGTGATGCACGGGCAGCGCAGGCCTGACTTCAGATCAGTTTTCAGTCAGGGAGCTGGGAGGCCATTAGAGGACAAACACAGGTGAGGATCTGAAAATCAAACTGATCATCTGGAACCTTTTTGGACACCAATGTTCTATTCAGCATATTTTTCTAGAAGGAAAGGTGTAAAAATAAACAAGAGATAGCATTTCCTGTGAAAATGCAGTGAATGCTTATTGTAGAAGAACTTACTGAAAAACAGCTGAAATGGAAGAACAAGACTAAATTAGCAGAGGAACGCAGAAAGAACACATATGTGCTGAATTGGGTTTAAATGAGCAGAAATGAGCCCAAAAAATTTGGAATTTAGCTAAAAAAAAGCTGAAATTAGCAAAAAAAATTGCTGAAAAGTCAGAAAGAAGCTTAAACTACTAGAAGGAAGTGGAAAGATGTGAAATGAGCTAAAAAAATGTGGAATTAGCTGAAAAAGATTAAATTAGCATAAAACAGCTAAATAGTAGCTGCAATCACTTAACCTAATTAAGCTGAAAGGAGCATAACAAGCCAAAATTAGTACAAAAAAGTTAATTAGGCTGAAGGTAGCAGAAATTACCACAACACTTGAATTTATCAGAAAAGAGCTGAAATTAGCTAAAAATGCTAAAAAGGTTGCTGAAAAGGTATAAAATGTTTGAATTACTAAAGAAAAAGAAATCAGAAAGAACACGCCCAATTATGCTTAAAGAAACAGAAATGAACACAAAGAAGTGGAAATTACCTGGGAAAAAAAAGCTGAAATTAGCACCCCAAAAAACACAGCTGAAAGTAGCTAAAAAACAGAAGGAACCTTAAATTATCAGAACGAAATGGAGAGAGCATATTTTGCTGAATTAGGCTGAAAAAAATTTTAATGAGTGCAAAAAAATGTGGAATAAGCCAAAAAAAGCTAAAATTAGCATAAAAATAGTAGTTGAAATAGCAGAAAAAGCTAAAACTTCTACAAATAAGCTGAAAAGAGCAGAAAGAAGTTAGAAGCACAAAAATGTTGTAGTTAACAAAATAATATAAAAGGATTACAAAACAGCAGAGAAAACAGCTAAAATTAGCTGAAAGTAGCTGAAAAAATGTTAAAATTTATACAAGAAGCTGAAAGAAGCTGAATCAGAACAAAATGTGAAAGGAGCAGTAAAAGGGTGTAAACAGATCTAAAGATTTGAAGGATGAAAAATGAGCTCAATTCATTTTCTATCAGAAAAAAAGGGCAGAAAAGGCTAAATATTTCAAAAAGACCAAAAGTCATAGCACCCTTCTTAATGAGCTGAACGTTCTGATTTATGATTTGTTGAAATAGCACAAAAATTGTGGAATGAGAAAGATGCTGAAAAACATACGGAAGAAATTGGATCTCAATAGTGAATGCTTCACAAACATTCACACTATATCAATAGAAGTACAACAAACCAGACCCTGGGTGATGAGGGTTCTGTCTAAAACTGGAAAAACTTGAAATTACTGACAACTTGACTAAAATATTGAAATGACTGAAGGAGATATTTGTGTTTGTGCTTTTGCCAAAAACACAAAACATAAATCCTGAAGTGTTTTCAGCACCTTTTATCTTCCCCTCTGCATCAAATACAGATGTGTTTTCAAGCTGTTGCAACTTTAAACCCTTTAAATTAAACAAACACACGCCGACACATTTATGTACGTGTTTGTTTCAAGGCGACTAAAAAGGAAAGTGTCAAAGCTTCATAAAAATCTGTTCCGTCCTCCAAATATTTAGTGTAATTTTGCCCAAAGTAGAGTAATCTGTCATAAAACTACACTCATGAGGAGCTTGTGATATACCTCCACCTGGAAGTAACTTTAAATGCAACGCATGGTTAAAACTGATTTATTTATGCTTCATGTTCTTTTGTTGTAGTGACTTCATCCACAGGTACTCTGTTGTTTTTGTGGTAAAACATGTTTAAAGAGAGAGAAGCTGCTCAGCAGGACTCGAACAATGACGGAGAAAGTGAACAATTACTATTTTTAAAGCACATTTAAACCCAGCAGGAGCTTCCCAAATGACATGATTAGGACCAAGTAATTGAACTAAGTGTGAACTGAAAATGTGGGTGCGCACAAACACACAGGTAATTACACGACTGCCTGCTTTTCATGGAAGTGACTGCTAAAAATATGACAAGTTAGAAGATTAGTTGGTCTAAAAGGCTCATTTTAAGAAGAGGGGAGCAGATATAATATTTTTCCATGATCACTGAACCTTTAAGTTTTAATTGTGACCCTGAAACGTATAAGAGCGGTTTGTTGGCAGAGCTGAAAGAGCTGCGAGCTGAACAAGGCCGGTGAAATAAGACGGTGTGTCCCTCGAGAGCCGGAGTAATCAGCCTGGTTTTAAATTGGATTCTGAGGTGAAGACTACAGCAGAGAGGACGACCCTGGAAGTGAGAGGTGTTTAAAGTACAGTTTTCTGATTTGACTTCCTGTAAATTAGCGGGCAGCACGGTGGTGCAACTGGTAGAGCTGCTGCCTCTCAGCGAGCAGGTCCCTGGTTCAAACCCTGGTCCGGGAGCCCCTCTGGGTGGAGTTTGCATGTTCTCTCCGTGCATGCGTGGATTTTCTCCGGGTACTCCGGTTTCCTCCCACAGACCAAAAACATGTATGTTAGGCTGATTGGTAACTCTAAATTGTCTCTAGGTGTGAGTGAGAGAGTGAATGGTTGTTTGTCTCGTTTGTCTCTATGTGTCCCTCTGATGGACTTGTGACCCATCCAGGGTGTCCCCCGCCCCTCACACAGTGATTGCTGGACATGGGCACCGGCGACCCCTGTGACCTAAAATGGAAGAAGTGGGTAAAAGATAACGGATGGATGGACTTCCTGTAAATTATTTGAAATAAAATCAAAGCTCCAGTTCTGTTTTATTTGATCTTTCCTGCAAATCTGCTGCATTTTTAATTTTTTCTTTTCCCTCTGGCCAAAGTTTGCGTTGATAAAAAGCAAATAATAATTAGGTATGAGAGTGGAAACACACAATTAAGTTCCCTTTGGTAGTTTTTATGAGTACTACATAGATATTTCTAAAGGTTTAATCATTCAGAGACATTATTTAAGCCTTTTTTAATGATTTTTTTGTTTCTATATTGCCTTGTTTGTTTTGGACTTGCTTGCGTTCACAAGAAATTCCCCAAATAAACTTGTAAAGCAAATTTATATAAAACAAAAATTCACCAATAAGGCATAGTGACCTTTTATAAAGAATATAGTCTTCTGTAAAAATATATAGTTGTGAAGATTAAAATGTTTTGCATGACCCCTTCTACATCACTAAAAAGTATATTACAACCTTTTCAGACTTTAAAAACATTATTTAGGATTTTGATTAAAATAGGAACAGTACCGTATATCGTTCAGTAAACAGTCAGGGACCATGACGCTTCTGCTAGAAAGTAATAACTCATGCTCAAAATAAAGAGCAGACCCGACTAAATGTGTTGGGCCTCTCTGCACACAAACTGTGCATGAATGTTTGTTTTCAGTCCTCTTGATCTGTCAGGGTACAAGTTATCAGACACCATCAGTGACGTCAGTTACAATGTCTCCTTTTATTTGACATTGATAAAACATCCATCTGTTATTTTTACCTGCTTCTTCCTTTTTGGGTTGTGGGGGTCACTGGTGTCGAATCGATATCCAGCAGTCACTGTGTGAGAGGTGAGGGACACCCTGGACAGGTCTCCAGTCCATCACAGGGACATTCACATTCTTACACCTAGGGACAATTTAGAGTTACCAAGTCTAATATGCATGTTTTTGTTCTATGGGAGGAAACTGGGGTACCAGGAGAAAACCTACATGCAAGGAGAGAACATGCAATCTCCACCCAGGAAGCCCCCACCCCCCAAGCTGGGATTTGATCTGGCGACCTTCTCCCTGAGAGGCAACAGGTCTACCATTCATTCATTCATTCAACCTTTATTTAAACAGGTTAGTCTCGTTGAGTCATTGAGGACTCATTCTCAAGAAAGAGACCTGTTTTAAACAAAAGAACCACAGATGAGGTACCATCACAGACATTTACACCTCCGATGCAGGAAGAGGGCCACCTGCATCACGAAGGACCCCACTCATCCAGCACACACACTTTTTGCCCCGCTCCCCTCAGGAAGGAGGTTGAGGAGCATTAAGTGTAGAACCACTAGACTGAGGAACAGCTTCTACCTGTTAGACTCATGAATCTCTAACCAGGACATTCACTGTGAAAAATCACATCATGTTGCTGCTGATCTGTTTCAATGTTGATGTGTTCATGCGTGCTCATCTGCTCACACAGACTCATGCTCATGTTCGTGCTGTTGTTCGACGTAATGTTTTTATGCTATTAGTGCTTAGTGTATTTTTAGTTGATTTTTTTTAGTTCATATCTTAGAGGTTATCATTGTTTTTCTTTTACATTTTTATTGTTGGATGTGACTGGGACCCTGTGTACATAATTTTGTTCCACCACATGTGGTGCGAACGACAATAAAGAATCTGACTCTGACAACAATAAACAGTCATAAACACATATAAAATGAAAAGCAAATAAAGTAGTGATATAAAACAAAATTAAAAACAAGCTACATTATGAAATGGGGTAAAATCCCCAAAACAGAAACATGTCTGCAGTGATTTTTGCATTGCATACCAACTGCGCCACCGTGCCGTCCATAAATAAAACATAAAAAAAAAAAAACAATTCGGTATCTTTAGTCATTGCAGAGGGATATCAGGGGAAACGCATCACCTGTGTGTTGTAGTGTTGAGTCAATAACTGTTTGTGTAAAATATATTTTCTAATACGTCTGGTAAATGTGATGTATGCCTCTAATGACGTACTTTGACAATTAACTATGTTTTTATAAATGTGGATGACTTCATGCAAGTGTTCACTTTTCAGGCACAAACACTCCACTTTACCCAGTCCTTTGAATTCACTCAGATTCTTCCCCTCTGCTGTCACTGTTTGGTGCTTTAAAACGATCACAATTTGAGCAACAAATTGGGAGATTGAGGCGATTTATTTAATTAATTTTTTCAACAAATGGTAGGGGACTGGTGTAGATCAGTGACGAAACCAAAAGTGAAGTGAATCAGAGCGTACATGTGTTTGTAACACATATCCCCTTCATCATTTTGACAATTTAATCTAACTCACCTGCTGCTTGTTGCTCATTTTTTCTGTTTATTGACAGTAGACTGCTTCACGTGAGTTCAACAAGGATGGTGTGTCACGTGGTTGATGCTGATCCACAACAGAATCCTCTAAGTGGCTCTGCGCCATCAGTCTGCATAGAAGCTCTTAAATTACACACACACCATAAAGCTCACTTTTAGGTCCTCCTGACCCACATTGACCCTCTAATTATAACAGTTGCCTGACACTAATCGAATCTTTCAACGTGATTTTAACACATTTGTTTAATGACTGACCCGAGTCCCTTTATTGGAACTGTGTCAACAGAAGCTTTAGGTCACCACAACGTGAGTCATACAAGTACTGACACACTCATGATCCAGCACATTGGCTGTGGAGGTCAGAGAAGGCGTTCGGGTCAAAGCCTAATTCGGATTTTAGAAAGAAAAAAAGGCCTAACTCACTCATGCACTCATGTCATGGTGAATTACCTCAACGCATGTGATCACACACGTGTGAGAGTGTGCACTCACAGTAAGCACACGTATGTAATGCAACAGTCTCACAAATCATTCTTCATTTTCCTTTAATTATTTTAACGGGGTAGTCATTGATGCAAGCTAAATGCTCACATCTAAATTTCTTACAAGAATTTTAAATTCTATCATTTATCATAACTTAAGCGCATCTAAATTTTTACATGTCGTCTTGGTTAAAACACATTGTAACCTTCAGTATTGTTGGAGCCTGAATACCTGTCAGCGTCCGGCTCTGAGTGCATCTTGAGGTCCAAGAGGTCTTGGTGCCTTCCTGCACCCACAGGTACAAAGAACTGGACACAGTTCAGATGCAACTCGTGGTTCTGATGTTTATCATACTGAGACCGCTGAAATGATGCTCAGCAGAACAAAATACACCTGTTTTCCAGTTTAATTATTAAATGGACTATTTATGTAGCACCTTTCTATCTTATCGAGATACTCAAAGCTCTTTACAACACAATCTGTGACCTCATTTACCCATTCACACAGCACTCTACTAGATCTCTCCAAAGAATAATCAGAGCTTTATCACATTCATACACCGATGGGACACACATTGGAGGCAATGAGGGGTTCAGTGTCTTGCCCAGGGACACTTGGGCATGTGACTGCTGGTGGAGTCGAACCCCCAACTCTTGCATTGGAGGATGACTGCTCTAACCACTCAACAGCTGCCTGACATGTTAGACGTGAGATCTAAGAAATGATCCACACTAAAATTAATTTTTGGCTTTCTGTTTACACAAATTATCTGGCTGTATATTTTTTTCTTTATGTATTCTAAATGCAGACTTTTGATTTATGTCCCTGATTTAAAAAAAATAAAAAATATGAAATGGTTGCACCAGGTTGTCCAAATGTGACAGAAACAACATTAAAACAACTTGTAACTCGGTTTGCTTCCTAACAAGACTCCTGTGTTGAGAAAACATCTCCATACTTAAATCTTGGTTCATGCTCAGAAACTGGACGAAACTGGGTTTGACGTGCTGAGGAAGACGATTACAGACAAACATTTAGACACATTTGCACAAATACACTTACATTCTCTAAGCTTCTCTCAGCTTTGCCAAGGCTGCAGAAGAAATCTGGCAGACGCACGCTCCTGTTCAGCCTTGTGACTGTGCTCTCTGCTGAGCTGCACTCCATCAACATGCCAAAGGAGGCCTGCAAGTCAATGGCATTTACATGAGCTCTGTGTGTGTGTCTTTGTATATGTTACCTTGTAAGGCCCATTTTTCCAACACATACTACACTGTGAGGACCAACTGCTCCTTTTGGGGCCCAAAGCCCAGGCCCCATAAGAAGTGCCATTGGTGGGTTAGGTTTAAAACTAAAGTATGAATTGAGGATGGGTTAGGGTTAGGGTCAGGCTATAAAAAATTAATGGAAGTCAATGCAAAGTCCCTGTAAAGATAGAAAGACAAACTTTTGTGTTTGTGTGGGGTGTGTGTGTCACTCTGAAATGAACTGAACTTGATGATCCACCAATCAAACAAATAAACAGAATTTATTATTTGACCAAATATATCATTTTGGTACAGTTTATTATTAAAAAAAAACAACAACAAAAAAATTGAAAACAAATTTTCATCCTAAAATCACTAAGAATACCAATATTTTAGTGTTCCTTTCTCTGAAATGCGTGGCATTCATCCAAAACAGCAAATACTTGATGTTTACTGCATTTACTCCAGTTTTAGCTTCTCTTCTTTGGCTCCCTGTCAAATTCAGAATAGAATTCAAAATCTTACTTCTAACCTACAAAGCCCTCAACAACCTAGCTCGTCCTATATTACAAATCTTATTGTTCCATGTTTTCCCAACAGAGCACTTCGCTCTCACACTGCAGGCTTACTTGTGGCTCCTAGAGTTTCCAAGAGCAGAACAAGAGGAAGATCTTTCAGTTATCAGGCTCCTCTCTTGTGGAACCAACTTCCAGTTTCTGTCCATGAGGCTGACACATTGTCCAGTTTGAAGACTGGGCTCAAGACTTTCCTTTATGATAAATCCTATAGTTAGGGTTGGCTTGTTATGCTGCTATAGGCTTAGAGTACTGGAGGACAAATTGACCTCATTTCCTTAAATAAATTGTTAAAATTTAATAATTTTCATTTGATATTATCTCTATCTGAACATGTGATTCTTGATCTGCCATTGTGTATCTGTTCCTACCAAACAGAAGGTTGAAGCAGGTGGCCGTTTGTCCTGAGCCTGGTTCTGCTAAAGGTTTCTTCCTCATGAGGGAGTTTTTCCTTCCCACTGTCGCCTTCATGCTTGCTCAAGATAGGAGTCTGCAATGAAGTTAGACTCAAAGCAGTCTGCTCCTCAGATAATTAATGTTATTAACTTACTTTGTATGTACATGAATGTTTCTGTTCAGTGCCCTGAGATGACCTCTGTTGTGACTTGGAGCTATATAAATAAACTGAACTGAATTGCATTTATATATTTAAAAACAAAACTAATGGCAATTACTTTTCAACCGTATTGCTGATTTTGTGTCTTATATCATTTTAAACATGCTTGAATTATATCCTGGTATCTAAATAACACACTGTTCACACTTTTGAAGTGAGCCTGAACTTGGATAAAAAGGGAGAAATGTTAAAACTTTAACTGAAGACTCTGCAACCTGATTTTTTGTGTGCTTATGTAAAATAAGCACAAGTGAGGAACAAATAAAAAACTTCTAAATAATAAGTAAACACATTCATGTTTGCATAACAAATTTGGTTCATTAATAAATTAAAGAGGACACAACTTTCTTAAAATGCAGTAATTTCTTTTTCTTTTCATTATCTCAATGAATTCATGAAAGGCTTGAGCATTTTTCTTTTTAATTTTGCAAACAACTTCATTTTGCCGTCAGATATTAAAACGTCAGTTTTTCTGTGGGGTTGTAAACTCCGTGTTCAAATTGAGGATTCTCATAACAGCACTTACTTTTTTAATTCAAAATATTGAACTCCCTGCTTAATTGGCTGCCTCTCCATTCATTTAATCTCACTCCTAGTTTAGTTTTAAAGTGCACAGGGTTTGTTGTGAAACCACAAAGGCTTGCAAACACGCTGGTCCTCGTAGGATCGAATAGCTTCTCTGTGTTATTTACTTTTGTCACAGCTGTTTCTCCATATTTGAGCGTTTCCGTGACGACTGACGGGCAGGAAGAAGGGCTGCTTCAGAGCCGAGGGAAGAGAGATGCGTTCCAGGGGCTCGTACTCCAGCATCTTCTCCAGAAGGTCAAAAAACTGGTGATGCTCTCTCCCATGTGATAACAAGTAGTTCTGGGAAAATCAGGGAACAAAGAAGATACTTTGATAAAAAGAAGTGGCTGTTTCTGATGTTCGCATGTTCGCATCCTCCTCATCTCACCCTGAAAGGTTTGCATTTGGATTTGACAAAGCGCCCAGCCTTGGAGCATTCAATCCAGTCGAGACGGCCATGATAGAAATATCTCTGCTTCCTAAGGGGAAAATAATTACCGGCTCTTCAATAAAAACTATCTGCGAGTGTTTTGCATTGACGGGTTGCAGCAGCCTGTTACCTGCTTCTCTGAATCATTTGTAGAGGAATCGGTCCCCCTACTCTCTCCATCATTGCGAGATGTTCTCTACTGTCATGAGTCTGGAGAGAAAAAAGTGAAGACGACAAAAAATAATAAAGCTCACTGCACTTTTCAATTTTTGTATGTGTTACCTGGAACAGTGTGAAGCCTTCGTAATATTCAAACAAGATGCAGCCGATGCTCCACACATCACACGGGTGGCTCCAGCCCAACTCTGCAGGAGAGGGGAAGAGTTGAGTCAAGCCAAACAACGCTGGCCGTTACCTCCCAGAGCAAATCAACATCTCCTACCCAGTATGACTTCAGGAGCTCGGTAGTGACGCGTGGAAATGACAACAGAGTGGTGTTCGTGGTCAAAGGTAGCACTGCCAAAGTCAACCAGCCGCACCGTTGTGTCTTTTATTCTCCTTTCATTACATTTCTACATTTAAGACAGACATAAACAGGAAAAAAAATAAACTTATTAAGTTACAGACAGATAATTTAATAAAACACTTCAATTAACGTGAAAAGTGATTCAGGTACAAGCAGCTGTCTCATTCATCTGTGTGCCTTTAATATGCAATAGAAAACGTGAAAAAAAATGTGTTGTTTATTTTACAAAGACATGGTCAAATATTTGGACAGGTTTGTTGCCATCTTGTTCAACTTTACATCATAATCATGTTTGAAATTAAGTGTTTGACCTTAATCACAGGTGCCTCCAAGCTTTTCATCAGCCTACTTAAAGGGAACAAACATGTTTGTGGTAGTTTTGTATTGTTGTGTTCACCGCACTAAACATGTTGCAGAGAAAGCAAAGACCAGAGCTGTCTGAGGAGCTCAGTGAAACAATTATAGACATCCATGTTCAAGGTAAAAGCTTTAAGGCCTCACCAAGCAGCTTCACGTTCCTCTGACCACAGCTGCATCATTAAAAAGTATGAAGGCTTGAGGGACTGTGGCCAACCTCCCAGGGCATGGATGCAAGCAAAAATGCATCCCCAGGTTGATCAGATTGAGTTCAAGCTGAATCTCAAGGTCTCAATATTAATCACATTTAGAATCATAATGAGCTCAATGAAGAAAACTCAGGAGACTCCACTACTGACAGGAAAGCACAAGAAGCAAGACAGGAATTTACCAGCGTGTTGACAATGTCAATGCGTGTAGATGCATGTATATTAAAAAAAAAATAATAATAAACTACGATGATTTTTTAAATAAATTTTATCAACAATATTGACAATACGAGGTTGTTCCACTGAGATTAATGAACATGTCCAGCGGTCTTCCTGGATAAACATATGATTACATGTTGGTAGCTCACATTTCTACTTGGATTAATTAACATCTAAATGGGCAAACATGAAGCATTTGGTCGGGTTGTTGTGTCATCAGTAATCGCCTCATTTTCAGCAGCTTCTGTCCATTTACAGAAGTGCTTTCAGCCTTTGCTGAGCCTCTGCACATTTTTATATAAAAATCAACCCTGTGGCACACTACCAATAAAAAATGTTACAACATGATGCATCCAACAATGTTCAGTCAAGTCATCTGGACAGTTTCTTTTGTTGCTGAGACGGTTCGTCCTTCATCCAAAGGACTTCTTCAGTCTGAGGAGCCATCCATCCATCCATCCATTTTCTTTACCCGTTTGTTCCATTTTGGGTCACGGGGGTCGCTGGTGCCCATGTCCAGCAATCACTGTGCGAGGGGCGGGGTACACCCTGGACGGGTCGCAAGTCCATCACAGGGCCACATAGAGACAAACGAGACAAACAATCATTCACTCTCTCACTCACACCTAGGGACAATTTAGAGTTACCAATCAGCCTAACATGCATGTTTTTGGTCTGTGGGAGGAAACCGGAGCACCCGGAGAAAACCCACGCATGCACGGAGAGAACATGCAAACTCCACCCAGAAAGGCCCCTGGACCGGGGTTTGAACCAGGGACCTGCTCGCTGAGAGGCAGCAGCTCTACCAGTTGCGCCACCGTGCTGCAGTCTGAGGAGCCCATCAAACCAAACTGAATCCCACAAACAGCTCACTCCCGAGTGGAAAAAACAGTTTGCTGGTGATAAGATGGCCTCCGGGTCCCGCCCTCTCCCCCGTGAACTTCTCTAAAGGCAGCCATGCCAAAGTGGAAGCACAGAGATGCAAACTCTGTGAGTTTATCACCAGCAAACTGTTTTATATTTCCACTCTGGGAGTGAGCTGTTTGTGGGATTCAGTTTGGTTTGATGGGCTCCTCAGACTGAAGAAGTCCTTTGGATGAAGGACGAAACGTCTCAGCAACAAAAGAAACTGTCCAGATGACCCGACTGAACATTGTTGGATTTATATCTGGATTAATGAGCATGAACTTTGGTGTTTTGAACCACTTTTAAATGATTCAGCATAATCTAAAAACAGCACATACGCTTCATTTACAAGACGCCCCGGTCCAGGACTGAGACGTGTTTTGATCACCTCGATTCATTCAGAAGACACACCGAGGCAGCAAGGAGGGTCAGAGACAGCCTACCTATGATGCATCTGTGCCTCCAAGTCAGGTACTAACAAGGCAGCAGGCCGACGACGCGTGAAGGAAAAAAAAACCTGCGGAGCTGCGGCTCAGCAATGTGATGAACTGATGGCACGGACAGTTCGCTCATGGGATTAAACAAACAGATTTCATTACCGAGGGAATATTGATGATGACGCACAGCTACTTTGTAGTTAGTTTTAAAAAGTACAAACTGAACCACTAAACTGAGTTAATCTATTATATTAAATGACAGAAGGGAGACGTCCGACACACATTGAATGCATCGCGCTCGGCTTCAGCCAAGAGAGTTCTGCTCCACTCCACTTTAGTTCCACTCAAAGCTCACATCTGAGCGGGATGTGGCGGCTTCATCTGCGATTTATAAAAGAATAGAGGAAGCTTAAAGATTAACTGGTCTGTGCGGCCGTTTTGTGGAACCGTCTTCAGGAAGCGTGTTTCACCCTCTGTCTGTAAGTTAAATTTGAATTGACAGAGTCTGGTCAAAAGGGCCTGTCTTGTCTCTCCAAGTGGGCCTGTTTACATGAACACAAAGCTGATAGAGGAATTGAAGAAAGGCACACATGAAGCTCTTTCTCAACAGTTCTCAGTCTCTCTCTCTCTGTTTTTAGTTTTTATTGTAGTCATGTCTGAAAATCTCAGCACTCATTCATATGTTGTGGAAAATGGGTGCAATGCTGAATGAATGGGAAACTCTTGAGCAGCAGTCAACCACAAACTGCCTGAAAGTAGATCATTTAAGTTTGGCTTTAAATGGTCTTGTCTTAGTTCAGTAAGTTCCTACAGCTCCTGCAAAGTCATGTCCTTTCTAAAAACTGTTGCTGAGCTGTATGGGTCCTTAACCCAGAACTTTGCCCAGGGCTCAATCTTCATATCCCTACTACCTACTACTGCCACCTGCTGGCAACAAATGCCAAACCCTTTGCAGTGACTAACGTTTTGGTCCATCCATCCATCCATTATCTTTACCCGTTTATTCCATTTTGGGTCACGGGGGTTGCTGGTGCCCATGTCCAGCAATCACTGTGCGAGGTACACCCTGGACGGGTCGCAAGTCCATCACAGGGCCACATAGAGACAAACGAGACAAACAACCATTCACTCTCTCACTCACACCTAGGGACAATTTAGAGTTACCAATTAGCCTAACATGCATGTTTTTGGTCTGTGGGAGGAAACCGGAGTACCCGGAGAAAACCCATGCATGCACGGAGAGAACATGCAAACTCTACCCAGAAAGGCCCCTGGACCAGGGTTTGAACCAAGGACCTGCTCGCTGAGAGGCAGCAGCTCTACCAGTTGCGCCACCGTGCTGCCCCCGTTTTGGTCCAACAAAGTGAAATTAGACAATATCCTGTGGCACACCTGAAAATCGCTCATGGCGGACTGGTGCACCACGGCACAGTGGTTGAAAACCATTGATTCAAATGATCATGCAGGTGTTTCTCACCTTCTCTGTGTTGTAGATGACAGAGTAGTCAGCGTTGACAAAGAGGATGTTCTCAGGCTTTAGGTCAGTGTGAGTCAGCTTATTGTCATGAAGAACTAGCGATAAGAATAAACAGTTAGATTTATTTGGAGTTAATGCATTTCTTTGGTGATTTATTATTTTATTATTTGGTGGGAGGATGAGCATTGTTGATTATTTTTATCTTCTGTTAAATACCGTATTTTTCGGACTATAAGGCGCACAGTTTTATAAGGTGCAATATAAATGAACAGGTCTGTTTTCAAACATAAGGCGCACCGGATTATAAGCATTAAGCAAAACAAAGCAGTCAGATAAGTCAAACTTTATTCAACTCATTCACAATAGCCACATAAAATTGGTTTGAGGTCACTAAGCACAACCAGAATTAATACATAAGGTGCACCTGATTATAAGACTCACTGTTGATTTTTGAGAAAATTTAAAGGATTTTAAGGGCAACTTAGAGTCCGAAAACTATGTTTTTTTATTTGTATTGCTATGATTATGCTGTGGTTGGTTGAGCGGTTAGAGAAGTCGTCCTCCAGTGCAAGAGTTGGGAGTTCGATTCCACCAGCGGTCGCATGCCAAAGTGTCCCTGGGCAAGACACTGAACCCCTCACTGTCTCTGATGTGTGTCCCATCGGTGTATGAATGTGATAAATCACTGATTATTCTTGTAAATATGTTGTAGAGTGCTGTAGGAATGGGTTAATGAGGGCACAGATTGTAAAGTGCTTTGAGTGTCTTGATGAGATAGAAAGGCGCTCCCACTCTCCTCAGGAAGGAGGTTAAGGAGCATTAAGTGTAGAACCACTAGACTGCGGAACAGCTTCTACCCTGAGGCTGTTAGACTCATGAATCTCTAACTAGAATAATCACTGTGAAAAACCATATCATGTTGCTGCTGATCTGTTTCATGTTGCTGCTGATCTGTTTCAATGTTGATGTGTTCATGCGTGCACATCTGCTCACAGACTCATGTTCATGTTTGTGCTGATGTTCAATGTTTTTATGTTATGAGTGCTTAGTGTAGATTTAGTTGATGTTTTTCTTAGTTCATATCTTAGATGTTATTACTGTTTTTCGTTTACATTTTATTGTTGATATAACTGGGACCCTGTGTACATAATTTCGTTCCACCACATGTGGTGCGAACGACAATAAAGAATCTCTGTCTCTGTCTGTCTATACAAGTACAGTCCATTTATCATTATCTAGTTGTCATATTCTTGTTTTTTTGCTTGTTGTAGCAGTTGTGCTCCACAGTTCTTGTTTCTAGCTTCCTACTTGTATTTTGTTAGGAATCAGCACATCTTTTATCACTCAGTTATCATCAGACTAGTTTAACTAAAATACTGCATGTTAAAAACACATAAAAACCTTGAAAACAACAATAATAAAATGGAACAAATACAGTTGGAGTACATCGGGGTTCACGTCCTCTTTTTTTGTATGTTGCAACCATTGTATGTACTATGACTTTCTATCTCAACATTATGAATTTAAACAAAAAAACTTTTTTTTTTTTCTGATTGGCTCTAAGATTGTGTTTTACATTCATGCATCAGCTCTAACAATCAAAATTCAAACCTGATTGTTAATCGCTGCCTTAGCTGTATTTCAGTTCTACTGATATGACATGGCAGGTTTGAAATAAAACCCCTTCAGGTTGTATTTGTTAGTGGAGCCGCTGTAAACAATCTGTTTAATGTCGTCTCTGACACTGATGAATAAAGCGTTCCTGCGCAGTCAGTGCGACGTCGTGTGAGGCACTCACAGCTCACAGCGTCGCAGATCTGGCTCGCCATGTGTCGGATTTGGTTTACTGGGTAAGGGAGGAAGTTGTTTGATTTCAAAAAGTCGAAGGTGCTGAGAGACAGCAGTTGGAAAGAGATGCACACGTGGCCGTAGTAATTAAACCAGTCGAGCATCTGCACACAGTTGCTGAAGGAGACAGAAACACAGGACATGAAACAACAGGGGCCGTCACGCTGGCGCTGACCAGCGTTACAGACTCACCGCTTGTTGTGAGGGTCCTTCACCCTGATCTTCTCCAGCACATTGATTTCCAGTTTGGCTGTTTCTCTGTATTTATCCAAGCTTTTAATGATCTTCAGCGCGATTCTCCTTCCTTCTCTGCGTGATTAAATAATCTGTTTTATAAAATAAAATAAAAAAAACAACAACCTCGTTTCACATTTTGGTTCAACTTTTTTTTAAATCACACACTTTACCTGTCGTGGTCTAAACACTGCACCACTTTGCCAAACGTCCCCTCACCCAACGTGTCGACGATCTCATCTGGAAAACAGTTTCAGATCAAATAAAGCTGGATCGTTCCTGGCAGCACGTCGTTCTTCAGCACAAACACCTACATCTGTCCTCCAGAACGTCCCCACTTTTGTAGATTAGGTGACCATTTTCAGTGTCCCGCTCGTTTTTGCCTGCAGATTCTCTGCTGCTCCTCTGTAAACAAAAGCAGTAACATTCATGATAAGTAAAGCTAAACTACAGAAATTACCACATCGCCCTTAAACAAAAACATGGACTGCTTAGACCTTCAGATAAATACTGACCAACAAGTTCCAATTGTAATGAAACAAACATCCCATGAATAACATCTTCATATTCAGAAAAGACGCTTGATAAAGTGCATATGAAGACGGTAAATTAATGGCAAGGTCATCTGTAAACATGAATTATTATCTTGTTAGGGGGCTGTAAATATAACTACCGGTAGATAAATTGCATTTCCTGCAAAAAGGCAGTGTGAATGCTTATTGCTAATGAACTTGCTGAAAAAAGCTGAAATGAACTAAAAACGTGCTGAAAGCTAGCTGAAAAGGAAGAACAAGCCTAGGTTAGCAGAAGAAAGCAGATGAACACATTTGCTGAATTTGGTTTAAATAAGCAGAAATGAGCACAAAACGAGTAAATTAGTTATAAAAGCTGAAATTAGCAACAAAAAATAGCTGAAAAGCAGCTAAAACGGTAAAAAGAAGCTTAAATTACCAGAAAGAAGTGGACTGAGCACAAGTGTGCCCAATTAGGCTGAAAGAAGCAGAAATGAGCACAAAAAGTGGAAATTATCTGAAAAAAGCCTAAATGAGTACACACACACACACACACACACACACATACACAAAACAGCTGAAAGGAAGCTAAAAAAGCAGAAAGAAGCTTAAATTACCAGAAGGAAATTGAAAGATCAAATATTTGCTGAATTAGGCTGAAAAAAAGTTAAAATAAGTGCAAAAAATGTGGAATTAGCTGAAAAAGCTAAAACAAGCATAAAAACAGCTAAATGGTAGCTGAAATAACAAAACAAAAAAAAAGCTGAAACTTGCATAAATAACATAAGATGAAATTAGCAGAAAGAAGTTAGAAGCACAAAAATGTTGTAGGAGAAAGAACCTAAAATGATCACAAAATAATGAAAAAACAGCTGAAAGTAGCAGAAAAAAGTATTAAACTGCACAAGGAAGCTGAAAGCAGCTGAGCCAGAACAAAATGTGAAAGGAGCAGTAAAAGGTTGTAAACAGATTTAAAGATCTGAAAGATGTAAAATGAGCTCAATTCATTTTCTATGAGGAAAAAAAAACCCGACAGAAAATGCTAAATATTTCAAAAAGCTAAAGTTGCACCAATACCAAAAGTCACAGCAGGATTGTCCTGAAAGAGCTGAACGTTTTGATAAGATTTGTTGCAATAGCACAAAAACTGTAGAAAGAGAAAGATGCTGAAAAATGTACGGAAGAAAAATGGATCACAATAGTGTGAATCAGCGCCATAGAAAGAGAGAGTTGCAACGCTCTTTGAACTCGCCGATACGCGGTCACATGGTTCATGCAGCTCTCGATAGTTCTAATCAGCTCATCCCTGTCAGCCAGTTTGAGCGGCTACTGGCGCAACACAACACAAAAATCTACTTTTCTTACTCTGCTTGCTCTCTTTATACGGCTCTGGTGTGAATGCTTCATAAACATTCACACAACTAGAACAATTTAGGTTAACTGTGATGTTAATTCTAATTTATTTAACTCAACAAAGTCACACAGAAAAGATACACAGCTGCAACTGAAAACATGTAGTCATTAAACTAAATCCTTTTAATATTAATTTCTGTTTTATCCTCAAAAACAATTTCAGAGAAGCAATCACTACCAGATTTATCTGGTTATTTACATTTAAATATATCATAAATACAAACTAGAAAGTGTCTATTTTAGTGTGTATTTTTCAAAATATATTTTAGCAACTAAAATAAAATTGCACAATAAGGTATGATGAAAGCTGAAGATCCTGTTACATATTTTTAATTCTTGCAGATTTCTGTGAAGTGTACAGTGTGTTAATAGATTGTTACTAAAATAAATTACTTTTGTTTGAGAGATCATTTTTTAATTGCAATGGTTTTAACGTCAAAGTTGGGTTACTTCTTAAGGATTTTTTTTAAAATAAAGTTAAGAAAAGTACAAGCAATTATTTGAGCATACTCATTTGAGATTATCTGCATTTATCAACTCGGTTCTGCATTTTATCCTCAGAGGAGTTCTCTCCAAAGGAGGTCAAGAAGACTTCTGATCTCTTTGGAGATGAAGAGACTATTCCCATCCACATTCTTTTAATATCAGAAACTTGTGAGGAATTCAAGCCACTAACCCACATCAAGACTGCTTTTAAAGCTGAAGGGTGGGCAGATAAAACAATAAATCAGACCGACGGATACTCACAGATACGCCGAGACAAACGCAGTCCAGAAACGCCTTGAACAGAGAAAACAGCTCTTTCCTCCCCATCACCCAGGAGCGTAGAATCAATCAAAGAAAGGTCGAGTTCAAGTAGGAGATGCTGATAGAGGGACGTTCCTTCAGGGTGAAAAAGAGAGGTAGTTAAAACAGCAGCAGCAGGTTAGCTGTAGCGTACCAGAAGCTGTGGAGAGAAGAGGAACTGAGCAGAGGTAGCACCAAGAATATGAAATCAGTGGCATAGACGGAAAAAACCCCGTAGAGGACATGGAGATGTGACAAAGTAAAAAATAGCCTGCAGTGTTGTCAGCAGAAACCTGAAGTGAAGGAAAGACATCTACACGGATTCACCTCAAAACCAAACAGAAAGAAAACAAAACATTAAAACCACATTTTAAAAACTCAGAAAAAGAAAAGTTAAACTCAAACGCCACCAGAAGTGATGATGACAGCAGAAGTTAAGACAAACACAGAAAGTGACGGGCAGAAACGAGACTGCAGACGCAGAGAGGGCAAGCTGAGACACAAGCTAATAATAAACGTGGTCACAACCCCCCCCCCAAGAGAAAGTCTTTAGAGGAAAATAAAGATGTGTGAAGGAGGAGAGAAAGATCACGTTTCAACTTAAATACTCTCTCCACTTCGCACCTCCAGTCGGTTTAATGAGCGACGGAGAGCAGATAAAAGTTTTTATTTTGTTTTAAAGGAACAGACAAGTTTCATTACAATAAAAGTACACGAGCGCAATTCATTAAAATGATCAAACGTTTAAAGGTAAAAACGGGCAACAAATGCACCTGGAATTTTATAAAGTTGATAAAACCTGTTGGTCTCGTCAGCAATGTGGAACAATGATGCAAATATTTTTTTAAAAAGTGAAACTCCTTAAAAACGTATCAGTTTAAAACCTGAAAACAAGCACCGATAACAAACAGGTTCTGAAACGATGGAGCAGAGAATCATTTTGAACAAAAACACAGAAAAACGCCAGCGTCAGTTCAGGTCCACGTCTTAGTAGTTGTCTCCAGGAAAGAGGAAGATGTCCCCGTACGGCTCGTCCTGCTCGGCTCTGATCCTCCTGGACGACAGGTGCTCTGCACAAACAGGATGTCGAGTTGAAGTTTTCAGAGTTACACGAGCAGAACTCAGAAAAAGTCTCAAACCAAATATCTCATAAACCAGGTCCCAACCCTGATCCTCGTGGTCCACAGTCCTGCATGTTTTTAATGTTTCTCTGCTTCAACTCACCTGAAACGAAAGAATTGTTGCTTCTGCTAAACATGAAGACACTCTGAGTAATTCAAGTGTTTGAATCAGGTTAGGGTTAGGTTGATGCAGGGAAACAGCTAAAGCATGCAGGACTGTGGGTCACAAGGACCAGGGTCGAGGACCTCTGTCATGAACAAGACTAGACTCATTAAAACTCTCAGAAACTAATCCCTGGATATATATCTACAGCTGATAAGCCTTAGGAATTGTTACAATTCAATATGGCGGCAACAGCTAATCGATCTTAGCAAAACACAAAATCAACTATAACTTTTCATTTTTACACATATTGAGCTACTGTTTGGAGTGGTAGTAGCAGAGAGTTGTTCACAACACATACTTTGAGTGTGAGATCTCTAATAACATCACTGTTAAGGTTAGATCAAACTGGCTGTAACTGTCGTTTCTCCACAGAAGATGTTCTCAGCTGAAAGTCGGCAGGTGATATGCATTCCTTAAGGAAGCCTTTAATTCCTTTATATCTAGCTTCTGAAGTATCAGACCTTCTTGCATCTTTAAAAAGCTATTTAGCAACTTTTAAGAATAAAATAACCTTTGATTATAAATTGTGGAAAATAGCATAATATGAGTTGGTTGATATAATGTTTAATTATGAATTATGGAAATAGACCATATAAAGATTGCTATAATATCTGTTAGATGTGTAAACTAGGTCAGAATGATCCTGGCTCCTGTGGAAAAATCTAAAACTTGATCATGTACTGTTACCAAGGGGATGATCAGTTTTACAGTCATTGTGAGATTATGTGTGTGGGTGCTTAATCTGTCTAGTGGAAAAATAGGGATGTGTCACGTACTCTGTGTAAACAGATAACAGCTAATGGTGTCTGATTGACTGGATTGAATAAGAAATGGGAGGGACTTCAGAGAGTCTGAAAAGATGTTTGATTGGATAGAAATTGAAAACAGGAAGTGTCACTAGGGGATGTGGGGATTATTAAAAGTGGAGGAAATTCAGGGTGGAGAGGAAACGTAGTCTATAAGAATGAAAATAGACCAAACGAACGAGAGAATTGTACCGGCGCCCCAGGAATAAAAGGTAATTTACACAATTCTCTCTTGTTCATGCATTTGGGTGTGAAAAAATAAAGATGTTGTTAATTCTGAAAAAAACTTGTGATCCTTTCCGAGCAAACCAACCTGGAGAGGTCATCGGCGCAGATTTACGACCTCAACACAACACTTTTTGTGGGTCTCTGTAGGAGCTTTTGATATGGCTTTTTTAACCAATTTTCAGTAAGGTAGTTTATTTTTTATGTATACAGTAGTCCCTCGATACTTCGTGGTTTGTTTATCATGGACTCGCTCTATCGCGGTTTTACAAAATAAGATTCGACATGACACAAAATGGCTGATTGATGGATGAGCCGCACGATCAGCATGAAATTTTTATTTAAAATAAATTATTTTGAATTATTTAGCACCTGCTGCATCTTTGTGTATCCCAGAGATGTAGAAAAAGGGTCCTCCTGGATCTTTGTGCAACCAATGCTGCAGGATAAACTTCCCGCTGTTCTCCGTGCAGAGTGTAGAAGTGGGCGTGGCCAAGAGCGCTTGTAGGTGGCTGAGAGCAGCGGAGGCAGGGAGCTGAAATCATGACATTCTGTGCTCTTTTAGAGAATTTAGGAACATTGTTTAGAATATTGCAAGTGTGGAAAGGGTTTGAAACGCCTTAATTTATGTATATATATATATATATATATATATATATATATATATACACTAAAATAAACTACTATTTACTACTTGTACTATTCCTACTTAATGGTTTTTCCTTATCGTGGGTATTAAGGGTATGGATCGCCCGCGATAATGAGGGACTACTGTAATTTCAGGAAAACAAAGTTTGTCTTTATAAACTCGACCTTTCCATGCTTAAATCATTCATGCTGTAGGTCGGTGTAATTGTTTTCTTTTTTAACTTCTTTGTATCACAATCATTGTGGAAAACTGCATAGACTGATGAGATCAATAGATTTTAGACTGAAATATAAAAGCTTTCCCTGCATCTTGCAGAATAAGCAGTGTAGTCTCACGTCAAACTATCTTTTGGTCATTTTCTGTAAACTGAAAGTGTGTCATCATTCCACAGGGACCGTGTATCGATCTGGTGTCACCGTTGTAACAAACTCAACTCCAGCCTGACTAATGGATGATCTGCAGACAGCGACGCTGCCTCCTCTTACCCAGGAGATTCTGAAAAATGCTGCTGACAGTTCTGCGGTTGACCTCTGGTGGTAAAAGAGACTGAAAAAGTACTGCCTCCCCTTCAAACTCCAGCAAGTCTGGCAGCAACCTAAAGACACAAAGCACATAAAAAAATGCAACGCTGCCGTGTCAAACCTAAACAAAGACCTGATTTTCTGACCTTTATTCAGAAAATTACCCAGGAGACTTTACTGCTGCTCTCTCCACCACCTCCTTCTCTGCCTCGGGGATGTCCGGAAGCTTCTGGACAGCCCTGGACACGATGGACCTGGCAATACACACAGGTGAACGTGTATTTAAGTGCGACAGCATCAACAAAAACCCACTGATCTTTCACTGATACCCACCCTTCTCTGTCAGATGTGTACACAGGCGAGATCTCTCGAGACGCCTCCCGTTGGTCAGACGCCTCCAGTGACAGCGTACCTTCAGCTGGACGAGCACACATACACACGCATCAGGACTCATTTAAGTGGGGATGTGTGGAGTACCCATGAGTAATCAATCAAACTTCCCACGTTTTTTAGTATATATACAATTTAGACATTGAAATGAAAACATTTATCTTCTTCTTCCCCTCAGTGTGTCCCCTGCCGCGTAGCACTTGTGGTTTTCTTTCAAATTTCCTCAAAGTGCAGAGAGTGTCATTCAAAACATTTTCCAAACTGGAAGCTCGGGGTGTTTTGAACTCATCACGCCCCCTCTATAAACCACTGTACAAACATAAAACATCACATTTGTGTCTATCAAAACTTTCTGCAGTTCATTTTCAGGAACTTTTAAGATCTGACTTATCGGTTTCGCACAGCAACCGTTTGAGGTTTACTTTTTAGTCTGTTTCTGTCTGCTTCTCTTTAACTTGGCAGTCAGGCAGTGACAGGTACAGGTGTGTGGTTACCATGGTGACCCCAATGAGCCACAGGCAGCAACTTAACATATACTTTTTTATCTTCGTTCCCTTGACACTTTTGAATACATGCACAATAGGCTTAACACTGTGCTTTTCTATAGTCACTTAAATGATACAACTGCTTGCCATAATTGTCCCTTGTCTTGATTTTTCCCAGACAGCTGATTTGAACTAAACGGGCAGGTCTTCAAGCTTCTGCGTAGAGATCTAACCCAGCCATGTTTTGTTTGGTGTCGAGTTTTAAAAGTATCTTTCTTTGCTTCTTCTTGTCGTGGCTGTTAGCAAGGTGCAGTTAAATGAAATGTGCACCCACTGTGGGAGCCATGATCACCTGTGACTGATATTTTCTGTTACACCCTTAGTGTGTACGCCTTGTTATATTTGCATGATGCAGATGTTCACTTTTTTTTCCTTTTTCCAATTAAACAGATATTTTTATATAATAGAGGAAGAACAATAATCAGATAGACTGGAAAAAAAACGATGGTGGGATCAGCTGAAATATATTTTTAGCAGTCACAGTGTAGAAAGTTTGGCTAGCAAAATAGATGCTTGTTGGAAAAACTGATCAAAAATCATTTTTAGAGTTTGATCCAAATGCTCTGAAAGTTTTGAGTTTAAGACGTTATCTATGTCAGAGTCTCTTTACTGTCATTCGCACCTCATGTGTTGGAGCGAAATTATGTACCTATGACCTATACCTACCCTTATGTATGTATGTATGTATGTATGTATGTATCTATATACACACACACACACAGGTAAAATACTGACTGCTCATAAGTTACTTACAGAGCTTTAGGCTCTAACTCTTCTTTGATGGGACACATGGTCAACCTGACCTCTGACCTGAGTCTAACACATCTGAACTCAAACCAACTGTTCATTGAGGATTTACTCTGTTCGATGGCTGTTTAAAATTTTACCTGAGAAATCGATCATCCCAATCTCCGCCACATCTCTCTGCACCTGCATTCACACACAGACAAGTTCACAATCCCACCACGTTTCCACCTTATTACTTAATAAATCAGGTTACAGATAAATGACCTCCTTGCAAATCAGCTCAAGTCTTAGCTGCTCTTTTTCTGCCTCCTCCATCGCCTCACGCTCTCTCTCCCTCTCGGAGTCGGTGGACTCGGGGCCCCTCTCACCGACCTGAAGGTCCGAGCCCAGCAGAGGGGAGATGGTTGCAGCCTGTCTCCATAGAGACAGAACCTCATCGGGCAAAACTGCAGGTGGAAATAGCCCCGTGGTTATTTATGGAAAGGTTACTCGAGTCGTGTTCTTTAATAAAGCTGCAGCTGAACGTGAGGAGAGTGCAGAGAAATGTGACTGTGGCGTGGCTGAGACAATTTGAGCAGAGAAATCAATTCTGCACACAAAGAAGTTGCAGTCCAGCTGTTACTCTAGACCAAACTGTGTATGGATAGAGGCAACGTTCTGAATGGAGCCTTTAGCAGATGCTGTTAGTGTGATGTGATGGTGAACAGGTGTGCTACTGACAGCCGGAGGGATTATTGAAGAGCTTCGAAGCAGGAACGATTCTTTGACGGGAGGGCAGAGGGAGGACCGGGCGTCTGGTCTCAGTTAGGGGGTCGTTGATCTGCTGCTGCAGCTCGCTCTCAGGGAGCTGCGTCTCTGGATCGAAGAAGATCAGCTGCCTCTTCCTCCTCTTCCTCCTCACCTCGGGATGGACATCCTAATGGTGTGAAAAGTGGAGAAAATCAATAAATGTGGGCGGAGCAAGTTGTACATTTTAAAACTAACTAAAGTGTTCAGTGAGCCACTATAGAAATTCACATCACTCAGTCTGTGATGTTTAGTTTGACTGTTTTTGATTTTGTTATTAATGTTTTCCTAATTTTATTTTTCTTTATATGTTATGAGCACTCTACATATTTCTGCATACTTTGTGCTATTTTAGCCATTTATGTCAAAACTTTCAGCTCATTCAGGAGATGAGTGCTTGGACGTTTTGTAACTATTATACTTTTCAAAATATTTAACTTTAATAACTTGAATTTTCTACAATTAAATGCACTGAGATCTTTCAGTTCCTTCACCACGTTCTCTTTGAAACCCGATTCAGGGCTGTTTTATCTTCTTCAGCTTCTTCAAGTTTTTAGTTACCATTCTGCTACCATCAGTTTTTTAGCTAGCCTTTTGCTACATACTGTTAGCTATCATTCTACTACTTATAGCTTTTAGCTTCTGTTCTGCAGCTTTAAGTGATGAGCTAATTTTTGGCTACTTTTTGGCTTACAGCTACTTTCTGATAGCATTTTGCTATTTTTAACTTTTTGCTACTGTTCTGTTAATTCTAGTATTTCACAATCTTTTTTATGCTTCTTTAAGTTTTTTTGCTACTTTGACTTAGCTTCTTGTTCCTTTTAGCCTTTGGCTAATGTCTGCTTCTTTTAGCATTGACAACATTCTGAGCTTTTTGTTTCCTCCTCTCTAAATTAAAAACATTTAGATGTATTCACCTTCATTTTAGAAGTGTTATAGAGTGAGGCCTAAAGCAGTAAACATCCACAACTTGATCAATAAATGATCAAAAAGATTACCTTGATAACAAATAAATAATAATGTTAATCGTCTTTTCCTGTGTTTTCAAGTGATTTAAACTCAGTCTGAGGGTTTACAACAACCTGACTGGTTGGGTATTTTTTTCAATAAAACTAAAATAAGTTTTAGTTTTTATTTCAAAGTAAGCTGTAAATTCAGTTTTAAAGTTAAGGTTTGCAGGAATGCGTACCACCCTCTGACTTTCAGACCAGAGTTTTAAACTAAAGTAATGTTGGGAGATGGTGAAACTACTGTCGTTTTGGTTAAACCTTGAACATATTGGTCTGCTCAATGTCGAGCAATATCTCAAAATCTTCCCTGACCTTTTAGCACTCACAGTATATGCTGGGAACGACCCTCTGCTACTACCACACCAAAGTTTAGCTTGATACTTGAAAGTTTGACTGAGAGCCATTTTGGTGTTTCTTTTTTTAAGTTTGATTAGCTGGTCTTGTATTGGTCTGAGATCAAACGTTGATGCACATCCAGTGAAGGCTTTCATTACAATCCATTCAGTGATTCAGGAGATATTTTGCTAACAGGCAGACAAATAAACCCATGTAGCGGCAGCCAATAAAACATCACAACACCTCCAAGACAGGACTTCTTGGACGCCTTTTCCTCGCAGCAGAAGGTGGTGAGGGGAGGACCGGTGCTGAGATGGGGGTGATCTGCTCCCTGGGAGGTCCAGGGAGTTCTGCAGGAGGACCTGGTTCCTTCTGAGGCAACATCACAGCATCTTCACTGGAAACAGTGGCTGGCTGCAGCCTGACAGACAGAGCCAAAGTCAGTGGGTCGGTGTTTGTGTGTCGATTTTTGTGAAGGAGGAGTAGAAGGTTACTCTGTGGTGGATCTGGTCAGCTCCTTTGTCTTCTCTTTCTCCTGGTCTCCTTCCCTCTCCAGCTCTCTTTCTTCCTGTTGGGAAGTCACTTCTTCTCTTGGTAAATCTAAACCTCCTGTTAGAAAAGAATCAGAAAAGAAGCTTCACCTTGTTGTGGACTTTTTTATAGCTGTCAAAATCTTCCTATTTTTGTCACAAACCTTCAGAAAACGGATCTGTTTGGGCGAGGAGCATGTCGATCGTGTCTGGATGATCAACCAGGTCCTGACCCTCAAACTAACAGCAGGAAGAAGACAAACAGAGCAAGTGTCAGCTCAACCCAGACCATTCGGCTGTTTTTATGTTTCAGCAGCTGTACCTCTGCAGCAGGAATAGTAACAGGCTCCATCTCTCTCAGGGTGATGGTGTCTGGAGAAGCAGTGATGCCTGAGGGACAAAACAACAGACGATATCAATAAAAACACTAAAGTTTTAACTAACGTGCGGCTTTTAGAAAAAAAAGAAACCGTCCAGATGACCTGACTGAAAACTGGATTTTATACTTGGATCATTGCACATGGACTTTGGTATTCATCCAGTAGTTTCTGTTTTCTCTTACTGTATCACTAAAAACTGATAGAAACTCTTTAGAACACAGATGTCGTCACACTGCCTCTGTGTGTTTACAGGCGATGTTGCAGCTTCAGATCATGACATTCTGAGCCTTCTGCCATGTTTTCTTCCAGTCAGAACAATTGACAGTTTCCATTTTTGTTGCTGCCACCAGGGCTTAATTTGTGCCGGATCTTGCCGGAACAAGATCTGGGAACTCTCTTATTTTGACAGGGTGCTTTCTGGTAACTGTTTGCCTGGATCCGGTAACTCTCAAGCCTAATAATAATCAGAGTCAGAGTCAGAGTTTCTTTATTGTCATTCGCACCTCATGTGGTACATGTGGTGGAGCGAAATTATGTACACAGGGTCCCAGTTACATCCAACAATAAAATGTCAAAGAAAAACAGTAATAAGATCTAAGATATGAACTAAGAAAAACATCAACTAAATATACACTAAGCACTCATAACATAAAACATTGAACATCAGCACAAACATGAACATGAGTCTGTGAGCAGATGTGCACGCATGAACACATCAACATTGAAACAGATCAGCAGCAACATGATATGGTTTTTCACAGTGATTATTCTAGTTAGATATTCATGAGTCTAACAGCCTCAGGGTAGAAGCTGTTCCTCAGTCTAGTGGTTCTACACTTAATGCTCCTTAACCTCCTTCCTGAGGGGAGTGGGGCAAAAAGTGTGTGTGCTGGGTGGGTGGGGTCCTTCATGATGCAGGTGGCCCTCTTCCTGCATCTGGAGGTGTAGATGTCTGTGATGGTGGGGAGGCTGATTCCGACAGATTTCTGTGCAGCCTTCACCACTCTCTGCAAAGCTTTTCTTTCTGCAGCTGTGCAGCCTCCATGCCACACATTGATGCTCGAGCACAGGATGCTCTCCACTGCACACCTGTAAAAGGAGGTGAGGACTGAGCTTCCCAGACCAGCTCGCCTCAGCCGTCTGAGGAAGTGGAGTCTCTGATGAGCTTTCTTGATCAGGCTGGTGGTGTTGTTGCTCCAGCTGAGGTTGTCATTCATGTGTACACCCAAGTACTTGTAGCTGGAGACCACTTCCACCGCAGATCCTCTTATGTTCAGGGGGGTGTAGGTGTTTTTGTTCCTTCTGAAGTCCACAATCATCTCCTTTGTCTTCTTCACATTGATGTGAAGGTTATTCTCTCTGCACCAGCTCTCCAGGTGTTCCACCTCTTGCCTGTAGCTGGACTCATCATTGTTTGTGATGCATCCCACCACCGCTGTATCATCTGCAAACTTTACAATGTGACAGCCTGGATGGGTAGCTGCACAATCATATGTGAGCAGAGTAAACAGAAGGGGGCTCAACACACATCCCTGAGGAGAGCCAGTGCTGAGGGTTATGGTGGAGGAGGAGAGGTTGTGGATCCTCACTAACTGTGGTCTGTTTGTTAAAAAGTCTAGTACCCAGTTGCAGATGGAGGGGCTTAGTCCTAGTGTGGATAGTTTGTCCATCAGGGTCCATCATAATGATACATTTATAAACAAATTTGACAGTCTTGAACTAATAAAACCTATATTGGATATGCAATCTGAAAATAATTACATAAACGCTAATTTTAAACATAACAAGCTTCCTAATATCACATCAGAGCTGTCGGTTCACATTTCTGCTCCTAAAAAAAAATAATCTCCGCCCCTAAAAGTTCAAAGTCATGGGCAATTTTATTAAAAAACACAAAAATATAATTGGACTTTTTGCACTATGCATAAGTTCCTGCGCTTTTGTGAAAAAGCTGATGTGTGAATCACTGCAGGAGTTATCTGAACTTTCACTTGAAATACAAAAAAAGACAATGATCTCGGTTCATAAAGCTGGTTGTTGTGCAGAGTATTCGAAGCGATGTTGGACCAGGACGCTTTTCTGAATTGAGCAGGAGGACTGAGAGCAACTCTTGTCCAAGCCAGTGACAAAGAGTTAAATATTAGACAGTTTTTCCAAGTGTGGCCAAAAACAAAGCAGCGCTTGTTGTCCCATGGTGCGGAGCAGGGAGGAGGAAGAGGAGATGCACCTGACATGGTATACTAAACAACTAGTAAGGTAAATGATCCTGCCCTTAATACGCTTATAAATCACATATAAAGCATTTAAAAGCATAAATTTTAACTGGCTTCAGTGGCGATTTTAGTCTCTTTTTGGTGGTGCTCAAGCGCCTCTAAATTTTAACTCCGCTCCTCTGAAAAATAAAGAAACCATCATTAGGATTTTGTCAAGAAACAGTTCTCAAACTTTAGATTCACCAAAATATTGAATAAATGTTGAATAAATATGGCATAAATGATGACGGTCTTAAGCGGGCCAGTAAACTCTATAATTTTTTTTTGCACAAGACGCCACCTGTCAATCAGTCCAGTAGGCACGTCAGCAACTGACCATTCAGCAACCTCAATTTGTCGTGAAGTCTCTTACCTGCAGCGATGCTGCGGTTTTGCATTATCAACGCTTAGCAGTCAGAGATTTTGATAATGAGTTTGCATCTTTTGTTTCATGTTAATCTACTGTAATAAACCTTTGTAAAATATACCAGAATGCAGGAAATGGCATCTACTTTATTAAGAATTCTCTGGGGGTGGACCCCCCCCCCCCCACCACCACCACCACCTGCCACAGCTAATCAAACTAACCAAACACAAGAATGACTAAGTCAGTTTTAAAGACATTAAGCTAAAATTAGTTGTGGTAGTGACTGAGTCATTGTCAACACACAGCCTAAGAGCTAACACATCTCTTGAGATCTAACATGAGATCACACATAATCTTATTTTCAAGGTTCAACCAAAACAGCTTTGATGTTGTCTTCTTTCTCATCATAAGATGATCTTAGTTAAAAACTCTGGCATGAACGGTGAAAAACAATATTAATATTTTCAAGAGTGAGATCATTCATTTGTCCAGCAGGTATCCCCACAGTCGAGACAAACATAAACTGAAGATACTAAAGAGCATGATTTGTCCGTAAGTGAAGTGTAAGGTTATGAGTCACCTTCAAGCTCTGGAGCAGCAGACACAGCTGGACTGGTAAATTCAGGAAGCTCAGGAGAAGCTTCTCTCAGATACTCTCGACTCATCTGAAAGAAGAGGCAGAAAACTTTTACAATAATAATTAATAATCAGACGTTTGTCCGCTCTGTCTCACTAGATTAACCCCTCTCCCCCCCTACCTGTATGAGAGCAGTGGGACTGAGCAGGGCATCCTGCAGGTTCATCACTCCAAACAAAGGATCAGGAGCTCCTTCAGTCTCCTCCATCAGAGACAGTGCATCTGGAAGGACAACAACTTTTCTGCAAGACAAAATCAGAATCTCAAGCCAGGAAAACGAGCGACTCACGCCTGGTCGTATTCCTTCACACCTGCTGTGATCAGTCAGATCATTTTTCCGGGAACTACTTTGTTTCAGAAGCTGGCTCACGACGGACTGAAGTTCCTCTGAAAAAGACGCACAGGCATTACGATCAGGACCAGCTCTCCTGCTTGACCTCCTGCTGGTGTTTTGGTGCCGTCTCACCTAGGAGAATGGCACACTGGCGGTGGTAGACCACGACAACGCCGTACTGGAGCTGGGAGGAGAGGTAGAGCGAGAAGCGGGGCCGTGGCAGACCGGGTCGAGGCGGTGGTACGCGCTCCAGCAGGTAGTTCATGATGTCGTCACTGCACGAGCATTAATGGAAGACTCAACGATACAAAAATCTAACAAGGGCTTCTCTAACGAGCACTTACCAGGTGTTTATTACGTTGATTTTCATGAAATCCCTGCGAGGGACTTTGATGCCTTTTGTAGCAACAAGCCTGGAATTTGCAGAAAGTTTTATCACATTTTGTTTATTATTAAAAGCAAAAACAAATTAGCTGTAGGACTTCGCAGAATTCACAGATGTAGAACAAATAGGAAAGCTGCGCTTTGAATGCACCACCAAATCTGTGTTTTGTTTATGTATAAGATATTTGAGCATTCATATACATCAGTATTCTAAAAAATGTTTTCCCTAAAGTTAAGTGGTGGTCATGTTATATTCCTTTTATAACAATAACGTTACTGTCAGTGCGCACTCAGCTGTAATCTTCGTTCCAGCCAGGCTGGATAATCACAGCTTCTGTGGTTGGAACAGTCCCTAAAAATATTTAATTTCTTCTTGGCTAATGGGCTGGACTAATACACTGAACAAACATATAAAATGCAACACTTTTGTTTTTGCTCCCATTTTTCATGAGCTGAAATGAGTGAATGAAGCAAATGATGGTCACACCAGATAATGACTGTTTTTTGACTGCCCCACTACAGTAAAAATGCACATTTTAGTAGCCTTTTATTATGGTCAGCCTAAGGCACACCTGTGCAATAATCATGCTAACTAATCAGCATCTTGATTTTCCACACCTGTGAGGTGGATGAATTATCTCATCAAAAGGAGAAGTACTCACTAGCATAGATTTAGACAAAACTGTGAACGATATTTGAGAGAAAAATACCTTGTGTGTACATAAAAAAAAGTCAGACCTTTGAGCTCAGCTCATGAACAACAGGAAAAACAACAAAAGTGCTGCATTTAGATTTTTGTTCAGTATATTGTGCGTTGTTCATAAATAGAAAACTTAACTAATTTACAATCTACTTGTTTATTGCCTATTAGTTTAAGATGTGTCATAATTTATCATTTGAGCTCAAATTTAGTTGTTTATTTTTATGCAAGTGCAAAAAGATTTTTTTTTTTTTTTGCTTCAAATACCTATTTTCCACAAATCAACCAGTTCAATTTGTTGCCTTTTCACCAGCAAAAAGTAGAAATGGTAATGGCAATACTAAACCTTTGGAGGGAATAAAGGTTTATTACTTATTATTTAATAATAAAAAAATATGCTTATTATTCATCAAAGAACATTCACTGAAATTTTTATTTTTCAACATAAGAATGGCATTTTTATGACTAATAACTTTTCACATTGTTCACTGGGAATTCATTGATTATGACAAATATTTGATATTGTAAAATGTTACTTTTCTATTTTAAACCCAGGTACATCTTGGTATCTTTGGAAAGTACATTTAAAGCACTATTAACTTTTTTTTTTAATGAAAATTAACTTTTTGATAACTTCCTACTTTTAATAAAAACTACCAAATTGACAACAACTCAGCAAAACTCGACACAGAACCTGAGAAATCATCAACTGCAGATCCAGTTTTACTTTTTGGTGCTAAAATACTATTATTTTTACATGCAAAACTTTCTTATCTTTAGCATTTTGCAAAGAAAATCATCAACACTGGACTCGTTCAAGGTCCATTTAAAGACGCAACTGTCAGCACTTAAACCCAATGTCGGCATTTATTTTATTTCCATTTTTCCTGCACTCAATTTGAATTATTTTATTTAAACATTTCTGAAACTTTTATGCATTTTGGATTTGGTTGTTCTATAATGCGTTTCAAAAATAAATTCAACTGGTTAAAACTTAAAATGACAAAACAATTAAACAAGCTAAAACTTTAAAAAAGACATTCAGAAATAATGAAAATGTCCTGATCCAGACACTGGACTTTTGCACAGCTGTGGTTCCTTTAGAATAAAACTCAACTCTGTTCATTAAACGAGTTTTTTTTTTTTCTTCCTCATCTAAACATCTCAGCTCTTTGATCTTTAGCCGACACCATTGATGAGCCACACTTCAAACACTTCATCTGTTTTTATTTGGGGTTTTTAACCACCTGCACAAAACGGCTCACTTTAAAGAAACAAAACACTCGATGATTTCTTTAAAATTCCCACAAAAATCACGTTGAGTTTTCCAGTGCGAAGAAAGAAAATCTCATAAAAAGTCAAAAACCTGTCAGCCTTTTAAAAAAATACCGAATGTATTAATTCACCATTTTATTTGTAATTAAAAAAGTACAACAGATTAATTCATTCAACCTTTATTTAAATAGGTTAGTCCCACTGAGCCACGAGATAAACTGTAGTTTAAATTAACTCGACATAGCTCATTAATTGGATTATTCTTTCGAGTTATGTGCCTTTATAAACTTCTTTTTACACATTTAGAAACAAAGAGTAGGACATTAGTCACATTTATTTAATTTTTATTTTTAACTTTTTTGCTACAATCAAGAAAAGACTCAAACTGAAGTAAGAGAACAATTTCAAGTGATTTTTAAAGTTTTTGACTCACCAGATGGTAGAAAAACATCCTGTATGTCTCTGTAGAACCGCAGGGTAGTAAAACATTTTAAAACTTTGATGGACAAGTTGAGCTGCAGCACAAATAAAGGTCCGAGTTGTGTTTGTGAGCGTCGGAAATATTAGAGTCAAACAAGCTGGTGAGTTCAGGTACACAGAGAAAGTCCGGCCCAGTGTCACCAGATGATCATGCATAGTTTTAAGGTGTAAACTTTAGATTGTGATTTCTGATTTGGCAAACCACTGATCACTTCTTTAGCTAAAGATTTTAAAACCTACATCGGCTGAAAACGTATTTAACAGTAAATATTTTAACTTGTCAAATAAATGAACTCGAGAAATCTGTGAAAATGCAACAAATGATGACTTTGGTGAAACGTAAGAAAAGGCCGAGTGGTTAAAGCGAAAAGGAGCAAAACACCAACGCAACGCTTAAAAGGCAAAATGCTAGCTAAAAAACAAAAAAGTTAAATGTAAGCTAAAAGTATCAAAAGGTGAGATAAATGTTAAAAGTTTTAAAGACCAGCTAAGCAATAAATCAGTAGCTAAAAGAGAAATGTGTAAAAAAAAAGACTAAATTTAAGCTAAAAGTAGCAGAATGTACATGGAAGTAGCAAACTCTAATAAACCAAATTCAGCTAAAGGTTTACTAAATGAATGGTGAGGAAACACAAAGTGCCTTTTAAAGAAAAACGGCAAAACTGAACAAGAAAATCATTTTCTAGGATTTTGTGCTGAAATGTATTGAAAAAGCATAATCTGATGTGTTCAAGCTAATAAAACAAAAAAGCTAAAATGAGCAAAATATCAGCTAAATACTTAAAAACAGCTAAATGCTAGATAAATGTAGCAGGTAAAGCTAATTTAAAGCTAAAAATACCAAATCAGTAGTTGAAAGCTAAATGCAGGATATACGTGTTAAAAGTAGCCAAATGGTAATAGAAGTAGCAATTTAAAAAATTAAAATAAAAAAACCTGTTTCTGAATAATATTTGTACCAAATTCAGCTATAGGCTTAAAAATTGACACGGAAGATGCTAATTTTCTTTTGAAGAAAAAAAAAAATTTTTCGATGAAAATGCAGCAAGTGAAGCTTAAAATGAGCAGCTAAAACTGATAGAAGCTGGCTAAAAGTGTATTAAGACAAGCTAAATGCTTAAGTAACAAAATGCTAGCCTAACACTAAAGGTGTCAAAAAGACAGCAATAAAGTATCAAAATGCTAGCTAAAAGCAACAAAAGCTAACTTTAAGTCAAATGGAAAAGAAAAAAAGAGGCTATTAAAATTAAATACAGCAAAAGGCTAAGTAAAAGCTAACAGCTGCAGAGCTGTGACTTATAAGTAGCGAAAGGCTAGCTAATATCAGCAAAACACTAGCTAAATAAAAGCAAAAGACCAAACTAGATGCAGAATACTGTAGCAACATTTTAAAAACAAAGGTTTTTTTTATATAAATTGAAGCGATCCCAATGTATTGTTATGGGAACAACCACGTAAAATACAGTGAAAAGTATAAAAGTTACAACAAACTAAAGCCAGAGCACCCATCTCCTGCATGAGCTGAACGTTTTGATAAATGAACGACTAAAACTGCACAAAGTGTGCAGAAGCAGGTAGAGAGCTCTCACACAATAATTATAAGTGATAAATCTGGGCTGGTAAAAAAATAAAATAAAATTAGATACCGATGCAGAAGCTTTGGTCATTCGTGAAACTTTTATTCAGAAAAAAAACATAACACAAAAAAATACAGTTGTTTCTTGTAAAGAAGACGTCGTGGACAAGAGGAGAAAATGTAGGAATTACCTTCTTCTCTGGGCTGCTCTCTTCCTCAGGGGTCGCCACAGTTAATGAACGAAGAATTGTTTTTACACCGGATGCCCTTCCTGATGCTACCACAGCCCTGTGTGTGGAGCAGAGCTGCCATCTAGGGCACCCAGGGAGCAGATGGTGGGGGTTAAGGGCCTTGCTCAAGGGCCAAGAGTGGGGCAAATGAGGGAGGAAGCAGGTGTGGGTGCTTCATTTTTCCCACCTATTTTGACCACCGTTGGTCTGGGGAGTCGAACCGTTATCGATCACATGCCTTCTCTAACCTCTGCGCCCTCACCCCCCACCCCAAGAAAAATGTAGGAAACTGCTTGATGTCAAATAAAAGCAGCAAAACAGCTGTAAGAAAATGTATAGAACTAAAATAATTCAGTTACAGTGTTGGAGGGACTCTGGGTGTTTTTCTAGATCCAGCGGATCCAGATGGATCACAGCAGTCGTCCTCTGCACTCTGTGGATCCGCAGCAGCACAGCAGCTCTTTACCTTCCACGCTCCCCACCTCGTAGTTGTAGTCCCAGGTCAGCTCGGTGCCGGCCCGGATACGCCTGAAGGGAGAAAAATAAAAGCAGGAAAATTAAGTGGGGGGGGGAAGGGGGGGGCATCCAATACTCACACATTTTCTGGATAAATTTACATCACGTCACCAGAACTGAGACTGAAAATATCATCATTATAAAACTGTTCTGAATTTTAAAAAAAGGCAGCACGATGGCTCAGTGGTTAGCACTGTTGCCTCACAGCAAGAAGGTACTGGGTCCAATCCCAGGTTGGACCTGGGGTTTTTCTGTGTGGAGTTTGCATGTTCTTCTCGTGCTTGCGTGGGTTTTCTCCGGGTATAACGGTTTCCTCCCACAGACCAAAAACATGCATGCTAGGCTGCCTACAGGCCCAGGCCTCCCTTGCAAAATTTGCCTGGTTAAATAAATGTTAATAATGAAAAAATTTTAAAAAAAACATAACACGTGACATCTGGACACATCCCCCCCCCCCCCCCCT